ATAAACGGTGGCCTTGTTAGATTCAATATTGTAAAAAGGAGCGATGAAGGGCACGAAGTGGTCGAGTGCTATTCGCGTAATTAGTGTAGCAATGGCGTACAAAGTTTTTTGTTTCAAGCACTTGCCCCATATTAGAAGCTATATGAGTTGCTCTTCATCCTGAGTATCCAGCGTCTACATCCATTCTTTGCATTTGCTAATATATTTCTGTTTCTCAATGGTGTGTTCATCATCATTTGGAGAAACACAAGATGTTTCTGAGTTGTAGAAGAAGTTTTTGGAAGGCGGTTATAGGCCTGTACTTCGAGGGTTTTAGTGTCCCTCTTTTGTAACAAATGTTCTATCTTAGTGAGGAAGTGAGGTAGATTTTCTGGATTGGAAGAAAATACTCTGAATTACTACTTAGCGTATATGATAGTGAGTGTGATAAATTTTTTGAGCCAATATCTGTGGAGGCATCGCCCTGGTGCGTTGCCAGTTTGTGTTTTTGTTCAAGAGCTGGCTTGGAGCAATATCCAGGTTGATGATTGCGTTCACCCATTAGAGAAATATTGTGTGTGTCATATTCATTTCAATCGACGTCATTAATCTGGGTTGTGGGACACAGCAGATGACCAGAGAAGCTTCCAAAAGTCCTCTATTTGTGCCTTTGAGGGACGCTTTGACTCTTTCATATCATTTACAAGCCCTTTGCCCTTTGACATATTCCTGTAGAATGCTTTTAGGTTTCTGTTAAAAAGAGAAATCTGTTGCTTCCTCGTAGTGCAATTCCTGTAGCGTTGAAGGCGTTTTGTTAACGCCAAAAGCTTTTGCCGTAGGATGTCAAGATGTTCTGTTTTTGTTGAATTCAAGGGCTCGTGCTTCGTATGTATTTTTGTATTGATAAGGATGTTATTCACCTTTCTTCTCAGTTTTTCCGAGGTATTTCCTTTTTTTAAATTGTGTGAGTCTCCCAATATCTCTCCTAGTACTTTGTATACGATTCACCAGCCGTCTTTCCCAAGGTGGCATTCTTTGTTCACTTCGATCATTGTGGGCAGTTGCAACGCGGCTGAAAAGCTTGGAACCGTTACATCTTGAAGCCACAACCGCAGGACAATAAATTGCTGTGTGTACTTCTTCGAAAGGTGGTCTTTGTTGTAGATGTTGTGGCAGTACTTTCTCATTCAAGACGCTGATTGCTCTTGCTAATTTCTCCGAGCAATTTTGTCTGGGAATTAAATAGCGGTTTAGTGGGTCAGTTCCCTCAAATTCCGCACGTGCGACTACAAATTTATTGCGAATTTGCACCTCTTCTCTACTCTTATCATCCATACTTTCTGGCATGCTTGTGCCATTGTCATCCTGAGTGTGCACAGCTGATATCTCCATTGCCCTCAGATGACTAGGTTCTGAGGAGTTTAACATTTTTCGGAATTCTTCCTTGATTGCTTCCAAAACTGGTGCAGAGAGGAGATTTTTCTGAACAATTGCTCGACGCTGGTCCGCTATTCTTTGCTCACTAACTTCAGAATCAGGGAAACGGTGAAGAAATCTTTGATGTAACTTTTGTCGGTAAGCCGTAGTGTCAGTCTCCATTTTGGTATAGTATTCACGCATGATGAAGGTATTTATTTCTGTAGTCCACTTCATCCTTCTGTGTTGCCTGCCTGCGGCAGTGGTCTCTGGAAGAAATTTATTATTATTATTATTATTATTATTATTATTATTATTAATATTATTATGTATACGTAAAATCATTACAATAATTTTTAATGTATAACGAATCTCTCAAAGCTTGAACTCTTGACTTGATGTGATTTTCGCTTGTATACATTGGAGATTTCCCTTCCGTTTTTAGCTTCTTCAAAACATCTTCTTAACAATTAGTAGTATCAGTTCACTATTACCACAATGTATTTATAATCATATTCTATACCCAACTTGCAGTCATAGAAATATATTTTCCCTGAATTTGAGTAAAATCTCGCAGTGTTCAACTTATCTTTCTAATTAATATTAAATACATCTCTAACTTGAAATCAATAAAATTAATCACACAAAAGCTGTGAGAGTATTACGTTTCTATCAAATCATCCCTGCCTCGCTTTCACTCCTGTATTGTATGTGGGAAACCCTTCAGTCTAATTGCGTACATATTTTCTTGTAATGACATCATTTTTATTTCGAAATATTGTATTAAAAGTCTTGAAAGTAGTCAGGCGGAAGAGCATGCCTAATAGCCTGGGCCTCGCCACCAATAAAGACATTGATTTATTTACAACTAATGCAGTTATAATGAAGCATTCATGTTCTGAATACACTGATTGCACTAATGGAGGTTGCCAAAAATGAAAATGGCTAGACAATTACGTTTCACTCATTTTTCCATGTGAGTGCTTGTGATCGTCATTAACGATTATGAACATTTCTTCTAACATTCAGATTTCCCATTTCAAAAAAAGAATAGTGTTCGAAGTGGGTAAAATGTGCTCGAAGAAGGAATTTTCATCCTTCGTCCTATAATCGTCTTTATTCTGCACATGACAACTTTACACTTTACAAATCATGCTCTTATTCTTTGATACATTTTCTAATAACTTTTTTTTATTTTTTGTAAAATCAAATCATCCTCTTACATAAAACACGATAGAGTACAAAATAAAAAAGTCCAAAGGAGCACCTTTTTCCTCGGTAGGTAGTAGTTATCTTCCGCCGCTGATTGCCGAGATTCAGCGCCGACCTATCGTCGGCTAGCGGGATTTTCCTCAAGCGGTATTCTGTTCCACAGCGAGGCGCACTGCCTAGCGGAACGGCTCTAACCCCCCCCCGGGGTCTCGGCAATGACTGGTAGTGTAGTTACACTTTTTGTGGTGTGTTTTGTGTGGTGTGTAAAGGGCGAGGACGAGAAAGGAAAGATCGCGCATGGTCTATGACCCGTTTGTTAGAGTACTTTTCCGACAATCGCCTGCTGTTGATCGGAGAGACCTCCAAGAACTATCGATCAGGGCAGCAGGCCGCTAGAATTCTCCTCCAGAAAGCGCCTGAATTCGACCTAGGTGTCGAAAATCTTGCCGCCGTCGGGACTCAAACCTATTACTTCCCGGTCAGAGAAATTACAGTGACATCAGTTGATGCCGAGAGCCACCTCTCCCAGTTTGTGTATATCTATGAGTGTTGTTGCAGGAAACAAGATTTCACAAGAAACCTATAGAAGTGATGTAATAAAATGGTAGTAGAAAATTGTCAGTTATAGTAAGTAGTGACCAGGGCTAAGCAAGAACTTTAGGCAAAGAAAGGGAAACTAGAAACTGTGTCACAGAAGTTTCGATCGGCATGCAGAAAACAAAATTTTGGAGTTCTTGAAATTTATACTAGGAATATATTGTTTTACTTAAATACAGCATTCTTTAAACGTTTCGGAAATATTATTTCCGAAAAAGCTTCCTTTAGTCCAAATACATCAGAAACACAATTTTAAGTATACAATAGGTATTTTCCCCATAAATGAAGGGCAATATTTGAATATCCGCGCTTTCTTGCCATCCCAATGGCAGATTTTTCGGGGTTGAATTTGGGAGTAGATTTCGCCGCCGGCCATTACTGGGTGGTGTGGCTTTGCATGAGAATGAAATAAAATGAATGCAGTGGTAATATATAAAAGATATCTAACGGCCATCGCCCTAGTTTTCCTAGACATTACCAGTGGAATTCATTATAGATAACAGCGGTTTTTAGGGCTCTTTCCTTTCTGCTCCCTCGTTCCACTGCCACTTATTATTATACCATTGTTCCATCATCCACATCATCATCCTCTAAGCAGGAGAAATCCATCGTCCTTTGTATGAGATTACGGTTCGTTATAACGAATTATGTGAATAAATAAATAAAAACTGCACTTTTTATTTTTTGTCATTTTAATTCCAAATAGAAAAGAAAACAAGGCATAATGGACTATAAATAACTGGAATAACTACAGAAAGGATCTACAAAACAATTTCCCACACACTAATATCCATGACCGACGACTGCGGTGATCTTCTGTCCCTCGCCCACCACAGGCCCTCGGAACTGGGCGTAGGATTTGCCCCTGGCGTGCTGGATGCCGTGGCCGCTCTTGTCCTTGATGGCGTACACGTGTTCGTTGCCGCCGTGGTTGACGACGGCCGCGAAGAAGCCGGCCTTGTGGTCTGAAGAGTACTTCACGTTGCGCAAGTTGCCGCCGGGCTCCTTGAGCGAGTACTCGCCCTCCACCTGGTCTCCGTCGCGCACCTCCTTCTGCTGCTTGATGTCGCCCGTGTGCTTATCTTCCACGCCGTACTCGAATTTGTACTTGGGGTAAGCCTGAAAAGGGTACAAATCAATTTACTTCTTTGCTTAAATGACAAACATTATTATTATTATTATTATTATTATTATTATTAATATTATTATTATTATTTCTGTTGAATACTAATTACTATCTTTTCTCCCTATTATTCTTTTAAGGGATTTGATGACGCGGTCATTTTTAAAGCAACCTGCGTTAAAGAGAACTAACTTCAGTAAAATACTCACAATATAATCGACGACTTCGATCTTCTTGCCATGCTTGTCGGTAACAGTGCCACGAACTTCCTGGACTTTGCCAATCACAGGTCCTTGGAAGTACGCGTACGACTTTCCTGTTTCTTGGCCACCGTAAGAACCACCGCCCAGTCCGCCGTCCGAACCACCTCCCAGACCACCTTCCTGACCGCCGCCGAGACCCCCTCCCAGACCGCCTTCCTGAGCGCCGCGCGACACTCCCAGACGGCGCGCGAGACCGCTCCAGACTCCGGCAGACGACTTCCTGACTGCGCGCGGACGCACGCTCCAGACCGGCGCCGAGACACTCTCAGGCCAGCGCCGAGACCACTGCCAGGCGGCCAGGAGACACTGCCAGGCGGCGCTTGAGACGCTTTTCCTGACGGCGCGAGACACTTCGACTCCGCCCAGACACCTTCTGACGCCGCGCGACGACCTCCCAGACGCGGCGAGCCTCTCACGCAGAGCTCCGCCAGACCACTTCTGACCGCCGCCGAGACCGGCCTCAGACCGTCCGTGAGACCTACTACTCAGGCTACGCGGGGGAGACACTCGAGGCGAAGCGCGAGCTGCCTTCTGAGCCGCCGAGACGACTCCCAGACCGCGCCAATCACGTCTTCCGCCCAAGCGCCGCCGACCACCAAGCTCCCAGGTCACCCCAAGCCGGCCTTCGCCGCCAAGTTCCCCTCCCAGACCTCCGCCCAGACCCCCTCGTTCGCCTTCACCCCGACCTCCGCCAAGTCCTTCAAATCCTCCCTCACGGACACCACCGCCCTGCCTGCCTCCCAGACCCAAGCCGCCGCCGAAACCACCAAGTCCTCCCCCTAGCCCACCTTCACCTAAGCCTCCTCCAAGGCCTCCAATTCCACCCCCACGTCCACCCTGTCCACCGCCACTTCCCCCTCTGCTTACGGTGTGAATAATGCTATAGCCTCGAGGGTAGCCTGCGTGGACGCATGCCACGAGACCTACGGTTATCAGAGCCACCTGTGAATTAAAAATAATACTTTAATTAGTTTCACTCGTACTGTTTTATTGAAATATATATTAATGAGGTAATTTGGAATATGTTCAACAACAATGTTTGAGAACCTATCCTTTGTTTGTAGAAAGCAGTAACATAAGCTAGCAACATTAGCTGTTTTATTAATTCCGTTATATTTGAAATACATTCATGTACCCTGCAGCCATGATATTTCCTCCCTTTTCTTCTCCTTTCCTCTCTTATATTAACAGAAGAGCTTTGAGATTCTCTGACACATTTAAAATTCTCTGACACAAAATAACAATTGAAATTTAGTTTTCGGAAACCTACCAATTATTCCAAAGTGGTGAATTCGTCAAAAAAATGTAATTATTAAAAATAACTAAGTATATCTTCCTCTCTTAACTTGACAAAAACTACGCATATTAAATAATGATAAAAGTTTTGCTCATTTTACAATTGAATTTCAATGGCAAATTATTTTTAAAACGTTTGCACTACGAGTGCATGCAGTTATAAACTCCTTCTGTAAAAGTACACTACATGAAAAACTTTTGAAAGCAACCTGTGCCACTCTTACCTGCCACTTGACCATTTTGATTCACAGTCGTTGCTGCTTCTGCAACTCCTCTCCGATCTACGAAGGCTTAAATAGCCGGACCACTCTCCCCGAAAAATGGCGAACCTGTCCTCCTGTGCCCCCACCGCGACGTGCCGTTCAAAGGCGTTGCCGAATGGACTCGCTCTGGATCAGGAATTTGACGTTCATACGTAACACGGGCGACAGCTGTGTCCCCTGTTTGGCTCTCGTCCAGGTTATTGCGACCTGTAAGGCACGTTCCTCAGAATCTAATTAGACGGTACCTGCAAAACAGCACCGGGACACCATATACTACCGGGTTCAGTGCGCCTTTTCCGTTACTGTCACTTGCTACAGCTTCGAGAACACATGAATTGGGGGCGGTCACTAGAACAAACGAAAGGCCAGGAGGGTTTGCTTTCCAATGTGGTCAAAACGGAATATTTCTCTCCTTGCTACGACCTTCATTTCAAGTAATTGAGAGTGAGATATTAAAGGTAATTAAGTGTTTTCTATAACACGTGAACTTTCAAATACACGAATTGCTTTTATTATATGTTGCTTATTTCACATAAATACAACGAAGAAGACGATGTTACAACTTTCTTAATCGTCAAGACATGTCCGCTTAAAAATAGCTTTAAACAGAAATTGGAATGGCAGCATTCAACAAGCCGAAAAACAAAGTCGAAAATATTTTTATGGAATGCGTCAGTTCGTTTTTTATGCATCTCTAGACTAATAAGTTCGAAGAAATACGTGTTAAATATAAAGTGCTTTTTAAAGGCTAAAACAATAAGACTGTCTATAATATTTTTCTTACATCGAATCGGTATCATTTTCAAATGGTTATCGAATGTTATTACTACATAAATGCCAAATATTCCTCACCAATATTCATTACCACTGATTGAAACTTGTTCTAAAGTGCTTATTGTCACTTTTTAATAATTTCACAGGTTCTTTTCACTCGAAAATAGTCCACAGCGATCCGAAATAAATGCAAGTAACTATAATCAATCGACAAACTATTATTGAATTATTAATGAAGACATCTAGATTTATAGCACTATTATTTGTGAGGAATTTGTGAAATGGTTGAACATAATATTTCTCTTTTACTAAGCACAGGCAAAAATTTGTTAAAAAGTAATTTTAATTGTAATAAAACACATAATTTCAGTAAAATACTAACATAATAAATCTTAAATTTCAAATTAGCGATGAGAAATATATGAAATAAAGTCATTTCATACATGCATGACATCGTGCTCAAGGATTATCGAACGTTAAATTGATAAGAACAATGTGGCGATAAAAATATTAGTTTTTGCTCCATAAGGCGAATGCCGAACAATGCAAAACAAAATTAGCTTCAAGATAACCATATCGAATTTGTTTGGTGAAAATTTTTATCTTGTATGGAACACTTTTCTACTCTTTCAAATATTTATTATAATAAATGTTATAAACCTTCAGATTTTAATGTTATGTAATGAACTATTTATTAATCCATGGCTTACGGATAGGGGAGTGACATATTTTGCTGTCGTTGCTGAAGCTAGATTTTATTTTCTAAGAAGATTGATTAGGTGGAATATTTAAATAAATTGAATGTGTTCTTCATATATTGAAGGATTGTGGCATAATAAAAGAATATATCCATATTAAAATATTGTAAGGAATTCACAATAACAATTGATTCCTTGTTACTAAAATACTTCTTTAGAACTAACTTTGAACTTTCATTGGAAACATGTTCGCCACACAGCAACTCAAACCGAACTTCTAAATCTAAATTCCCATTGCAGAGATTTGTCAGCATACCTTAGACCATTGCTGAAACGTGATTCCGTATCTATTCCACCGTTCTACAGAAAAATCGATACCTAATAGATATTTATTGAAGTGATTATATAACAACCACTCAACAATTCATTTTGACGGCATTGATGGTGACAATAGATGGTGCGGGCTAGCACGGTATTCTCAAAGCAAAGTGTGCGTTTTATCCTTATGAACGAATGAACCACTTGACACATTTTATGTTTGTTAAATAATCGTAAAATACAATAGTTACTTATAGCATTCTCAGATAGAATAAAATGAAGCCATATTTGATGTTAGGTCTGAGATACTTTACACAGATGGTTTTACAAACTACTTTAATCAATATTAAGATCAAAGAATCGTGAATATAATGTGGTTATTGAGTAGTTAACTTTTAACTAATGCATGTCTACTCTTATTTGGTAATTAAAATATCAATGATTAAATTTGTTTGGCCAAGTTAAATTATTCCGAATTCGGCTCAAGGACACAGGATAATTTTGTTTTTGTTTACAGAAATAATTTCTTGAGTTCACGAATATTTAAATTTCATCGTAATTCTCCAATCTCTCTGAGTATAATTTACGTGAAGCAGTAAATAATCAAAGAAAATACTTATAAAAATTTGACAAACTACAATACATTATTGTTGATAATTAAATAACTTACTTCAAATGTCAATGAGAAGGGATTATAGTGATATTTCAGCAACTAGTTGAGTATCGTCGTGGTTTCTTTTTCTCATAAACCCATTATTCAAACAAATACAATCAAATGAGGCCTACGATTATTTTTCCAATTAACCATTTTGTAAATCTTGATAATTATTTATTCAAATTCATATTAAAACATGATGTCCTTATTTGTTTCTTCATTTTCACTGTATTTGATATTGTAAATGGCTTTTCGCTAAACGTGTTGGATCAGAATATTAGTTACGAAGATTGTGTTGAAAATAGACGAACAAGATAAAACATTAGATTTATTGAAATACATGCAACTCTAACAATCGTACGTAAATGCATTATAAACAGAAAATCATTGGTTTGTTATAATTATTTTTAGTAAATAGTTTGAAAAAATATTGATACATATTTTCATTTTCAGGAAAGCAACTCCTACTGAAAGTTCGTAGTAAAATTGAGGAGCAAGACGCAATTTTCAAAAGTAAGTATTATTGATAACTTAAACGAGCACATGCAGTTAAGCAATAATAGTCCCATGAAGATCGAAGGGAAGTAATATTTTATAATTTATAAAGTGAATATGAGCACATCAGCATTCGTTCATGATTTGTAAACTGAATACGATCAAATAAGACTGCTGCTGTCTTGAGATATATGGCAATTATATATGGTAGTACAATAATGGTTCTTGCGCAGTAAAAGTGTTCTCAAACACTCAACTTACGTTCGTAGATTTTAATAATATTACTTCAGTTTGTACTAATCGTTTTCTCCTCGAAAAAATTCGTTTAATGAAATACGAAGTCTCCTATCGCGCATCTTCAGGACTCCAATTCTGATTCTGACTTATTAGAATATACCACCCTGTCCATCTCAGGCAAAATGTCAGGCATTATGCACTCGAGGCGTTCGCAAAGTGTTTCGAGTCCCCCCCCCCCGTGGTGCGTGGACAATTTCCAGGAAGTTCCTAATGAGAGTAGTTGTATTCTTCTACATTCTTATAATTATTTAGTACGTAAATAAAAAGTTTTTTTTTTCAGTACACAAAAATGTCTTAATATCTTATCTAGAAACTCTTATTGAAAACCTGACTTTTAGGAGAATTTTACCGCGAGAGTTCATTTAACATTAAATATGCTTGAACTATGAACTCTTCAAAATGTTTGAGAACCTCTGGTAGAGCTATCAAATAATTTAGATAGTGAACAGCGAGCTTACTGCTTAACATACCTCTTTTAATCTCATATTAGTGTTTACACTTTCCGCGAAGTGTAATTTTATCGCAGCTTTAATCTTGAGCTGATATTTACAGAAATTTGCGCAACAGTAAATTACGTTATTTATGTTTTCTAAATATTTTCATTAGCGTCCCGAGTTATGCTGCCACCTTTTCCGCTGTATCTCATTAACAACCAGCCAGCGCCCAACGCAGGCCGTCCAACTGGTTCCGCTTTTCCACGCACGCCATTACGTGGACCACGTGCCTCTGCGGCGGGCGGACGGGCGCACGCGCCGACCCGGTCGCTCGCGCGCTGACCTCGTTCAGGCCCCTTCCGCCCCGAATACGCGGCGCGGCGCGGCGGTGCAAATCGGCGACTCCGCGCACTCTCGCTTTCGCACCTGCGTCTTTCGCTCCCGACGACGCGCGCCGCTCCGTGCTTTGCCCCGTTAAGGAGAGGGTGCGACATGCATACTACAATGTTAAGTTTGCTATTTTTGAGGTACCATTCCTAATAGAAAAGTGTGAACTATAAAATTTCGATACTTTGCTCACGTAAAGACGCGACGTTTGTATCGTTTTGACATTTTTTGGTTTAGGTAAAAAATCGGGTCTCGCCGACCAAAGCAGCGAACCAACACGCGCGATGCCATCCGCTTAACGGGAGGCTCTACTGTGCACAGTCAATGTCGAAGTTGCTATTTTAAATTTACTATTACTAGAAAAGAGAGAACCAGAAAATTACTATATTATACGTACTTGAAGACGTCACTTTTAATATCGCTTTGACATTTTTTGGTTTTGTTTAATTATTTTTTACTATTTCTTTGAAAATGGCACGTCTTTTCGTACTCATCATTTTCCTCTATAAGGCTACGGAGGTCGTCATTAGAAACTCGAGCACATACCATTCCTCAGCTAAATGCTGGATGTCTTCACCTTTATTTTGAGGACTTTATTCTTAATAAAACATGCAGACAGAAAAATAAAAATAATTAACAGTTTTGTAATTCTGTTCATATATTTATTCATTACTAGTTTAAAGTGTGACGCAGAAAGGTGAATCAATTAAATGATTACCCCTCTTACGCAATGTCCTTGAATGTGATTTAAACACATGTAAATGTTATTCCATTGAGTTTGATCTCCAATCAAAGCACTGATCTGAAGATCTTTTCTACGCTAAGGGAAAATGAGAGTTTTGCTGTATTTATAAGACTCCATCGGCACAAAAACATGTCTGTATGGTAGTGCTGCCTTGGTGAATTAACGTCAAGAGT